GAGCACCAATGAGGTAATTTCCCGGTGGCCATTTACCCGAGTTACAGTTTCTTTGAAACTTAACTATAAATTGGATTCCCCGACTATCCTTCTTGTACATTTTATTTCTGCTTAAAGATACTACACAGAAGTACATCTACATCAATCAACATGTCCCGTCCCCTCGAAGGCAAATTCGCCATCGTCACCGGTGGCTCCCGCGGTACCCCCCATCCCCATCCCCCATACCCTCTCCATATCCACCACCCCACTAACGTCCCCCAGGAATCGGCGAAGCCATCGCCCACAACCTCGCCAGCAAAGGCTGCTCCCTTCTCCTAAACTACACCTCGGACAGCTCCCGCGCACGCACCGAATCCCTCTGCAGCACCCTCTCCACCACGCACAACATAACCTGCATCCCCGTGCAAGCCGACCTCTCGGACCCCACCCCCGCCATCAGCACCATCCTCTCCGCCGCCAAAACCCACTTCACCTCCCCAACCACAGGCACCCTAACAATCGACATCCTAATCAACAACGCCGGCGTCAGCAAAGACCGCTTCCTCAACGACCCCTCCTCGGGCCCCATCGACCCCGCCTACTTCAACTGGCACTACACCATCAACGTGCTGGCCCCGCTGCTCCTCACGCAAGCCTGCGCCGAGTACCTCCCCCGCAAACCCGCACACAGCGGCCGCATCATCAATATCTCGAGTATATCCTCCTCGTTGGGGTTCACGGGTCAGTCGGTGTACGGGGGTACCAAGGCGGCGTTGGAGGCGATGACGAGGACGTGGGCGAGGGAGTTGGCGGATGTGGCGACGGTGAATGCGGTGAATCCTGGTCCCGTGGTCGGGGATATGTATTTTGCTACGGGCGAGGAATTTTGGAAGCAGATGCAGGGGTTTCAGGATAATGCGCCGTTGAGTAAGTTGCAGGATGGGGAGGAGGGGTTGAGTGAGGAGCAGGAGAGATTGATTAGGGAGAAGATGGGGGGTAGGAGGCCTGCGTTTACGAGGGAGATTGCCGGGGTTGTGGGGATGCTTTGTACGGAGGATGGGGGGTGGTGTACGGGAAGTGTGGTTTGTGCTAATGGCGGGTTGAAGTTTACTACTTAGTTGTTGTTGTTGGACTTGGGGGTTTCGGGTTGGGGGGTTATGTAGGGTTCAGGTAATGATTAGAATAGAGTGGTGGTGTGGAACCACATTGACAATATATTGAATTATCTTATTATTGATACACGTCCTGAATTGGCTTAGAATTGTAGTATTTGGTCAAGTAGTCGAGTGGTTACTTACTACTATGCATCTGGAGGCTATATTTCCTATAGTGCGCTATGATTTGGTTCTGATAGGTAGTTCTCTGCATTGGGTAAACTAAAATTTATGGGGTTTGCTTACAGTGTTCGAACTGTGTCATAAGAGCAGTCGCTTATGTTTTAGTTGCCGATAAATTATAAAAATAACCAGTCGCTGGTATAGATCTACTACGTATAGGATTATATCGGTGTCTACCTCTTGGTATGCGAGTTAGGGTTATGCACGTTCCCGTCAGCCTCATGCCGTGACTACCGTAGCCCTAACTTCTCGACTGCCCGTTCGCTCCGACCTGGAGCGTTTCAACGTCTGCTAAATAGACAATGTAGAACTAAAGAAGATGCAGAAAGAGAAGAAAGACTTGGTGTCTAAGAATATCATTTTCTATTTAAGTTAAATACAGTAGTGTTTAGGGATGCAAAAGAGTGGCAGAAATCGAAGGGGATGCCTGTGTGTTCCTACCCTTTATGGTAGGCACGCTGCATCGACAACCGAGCTATATCAGGCGGCATGGAATACCAGCATGCTATAATGGATGCGAGTACCGGATAGAACGGCGATAGCAAAGTGGATAGCCCAATTTTGGTCATATTTAGGTTAGGTTTAAAGTGAAACGCTAGTACCGTCGGTAGATTTGTAGTATCAGAGGCTGTTTGTTTGCTGATATTCCAAGCAAAATAGTTATATGAACAGAGATAAGTGCAACTGAATACTGACAATATCACTGACAATAAAACCAATCACTTTCCACTCACCTATATCTATACCCTCACAATATATGCATAATCGGCGGAATCCCGCCCAAGTGGGGCCGCCAGGCCACGCACGCAGATGACTAAGCCTCTAGGCAGCGATAAAGTTCTCCTGGACCCTGAAGGGTCTTAATCATGTATTTCCCGCCGGGGGATCTCATTCCCGCTTAATTAGCATCTTCCAGTGTCATTTGATTCATGCAGCCTGTCAGCATGGATGCAGATATCCTCGATATTGTGGCTCAACGTGGCGGGAGGGCCAGGAGTGCATGTGACCTGTGCCGGCATAGAAAGGTACAACCCTATACCCTTTATTTAGTACGGACTCATCACTGATGCGGGTTAGATTCGATGCGATGGAGAGAAACCAGCATGTGAGAATTGTCATTTTGCTGGTGTTACCTGCACGTTTACCGTGACTGGTCAACCCAGGAAGACTATTCGAGAGTATGTTCCCAGTGGTAAATCAACTGTAACATTATTGCTAATTCTGACAGACAACTTGCTGAAGCCAAGGCTCGTGTACAAGAATTGGAAAGTTTCATTGCCGGCCGTCATCTCCCAGGAGCAGTTTCACCAAACATCCAGTTGCAGGATGAACTGCGATCTGCCTCACCATGTCCGCCCCTGTCGCTCTTTGCCGCGCCATCGCATCCCCAGAACTCGTCGGATTTCGACATAGCCATGGAAATCTTCAAACAGCATCTGGAAGTTTCCTGGCCCGGCACTACTAACTCCCCTCAGCGCAACTCATTCCATGCTGCTGTCTACCGCCAAACCGGCGCTGTCTTGGATTTGCACGGCTTCTTAGCCCGTGTGACAGAGTCCTACAAGGCCCAGTATGCTTCCATCTCGCCAGCAATCTCTACTCCCCAGTGGCCCAGCTACGCACTGATCCAGAAGTGTCTCGACTACTACGCTGCCAAGAGCATGTACTCCATGTTCCCTGTTGTGGATGTACCTGCTTCCCAGGCTGTCCTTGATGCCCTCGTCTCTGGCCGTACGGATTCCCTTCCTACCACGGCGGAAAAGGCACATCTTTTCGCCTTCGCAGCCTTTATCACCAAGCAGCATCAACACCAGCCGCAGTTTGCAGATACAGACCCGGAAGCTTACGTGCAGGCCGTACTGACACTAGTACCTAAGCTCATGCTTGAGCTAGCTAGTGTGTGGAAATTAGAAACATTCGTCATATTGGTATCTTTATCTTCTTTTCTACCATGTCTCCCATATTCTAATACATGAATAGGCCCTACACATCGCCCCAGCAGGCTATCCCCAACAAGCCCAACTCCTCCTCTCAACCGCCATCCGCATTTTGTATCAATTAGGCGGCCACCGCATCACCCCTCCCCCAGAATACCAACCACAAGCTTCCTCTACCACCACCACCAACGACACTAAATCCCACTCTCACCTCCGCGCCATCTTCTGGCTCTGCTACAGCATGGACAAAGAAATGTGCATCCGCAGCTGCTCCCCACCCCTCATCCACGACATTGACGTCGATCTCGACTTTCCCCAAACCTACATCGGCTCTACCACCCACTCGCCCCCACCACCCCGACAATCCCCATCATCATCATCAGCATCATTATCATCGTACAATGGCAACGAAATCCCCCTCCTCTACCCATCAGACATCCGCCTCGCCATCTTCAAATCCCACATCTACAACCGCCTCTACTCCAGCCACGCCCAATCCCTCCCTGAAGCCCGCCGTCTCGCTCACATCCGCCAACTCGATCAGGATCTGAGTGAACTATATGCCGAGTTCCCCTTAGGACATACACCTGTACACACACCTAGATCCGAAACAAGCACACCCAACAATCGAGATCCAACAATACTCTCCTCCTCCTCCTCCTCCAACGAAGAAAGTAGTAATCATAAACTGGTCAATATCCGCCCTATCAACATCCACCTTGAATACCACCACTGTATTCGAAAACTGCACGAAGCGAGTATCACAACTAGCTTATCTGTCGTCTCTGCCCCGCTTGCTTCGAGTCTGGAGTTGTATTATCAAGCCTCGAGATCGACATTACTATATTACCTGAATTCAGGGAAGGGCGGGCTGGTGGATCGGTTTAGCGTTTGGTGAGTACACACATTTTCCAAACCATTACCGTTATTTCCAGCTATGCGTACATAGTATACTAATACGAAAGATAATAGGATCCACGCACAATTCATCCTCTCCGCCATTCTCACTGTCTTCTGGTGTTTGATTGAGAACCCCGATCCGAGGAGTGCGTCCTTCACGAGGGATTTGAGGATGTTGGAGGATATGAGGGGATTGTTTGCTTGTGAAGTGTTTGATATGGACGGGGAGGGGAGGTTCTTCCCCCCGGCGTATATTGTCGATGGGTTTTTAAGTTGGTTGGTTTCGTTGGTTAGGGTTGCGGTGGAGAGGGAGGGGGTTCGGCGTGGTCGGGCTTCGTGAGGTGTCTTCTACTTCTTCTTCTTCTTCTTCTTCTTCTTTTTATTTATGTATATATTTATCATTGGGAACATGTTGGGTGTTTGTTGGGACTTTGGTTCTGGTTCGGGGTGTATAAGATTGTATTCTATGTATGGTGTCTTCTATAGGTGGTTGGACTGTCTCTGGATACTGTTCTGCTGTGTTGAGAGTTGTGTAGTCCATTTGTATTATATTATCTAACAGGGACTATGTATTCAGGATGTAGGACTTTTATGAAAGGTGATATAAGCTGGAGAGGCAATGGTTAAGGAGATATCGGTGTTACTCTCAGCAATATAGATTAAATTGGTGTTCAGTAAATATCTAGAGCGAGTGACGAAGCACCCAAAAGACCTCCACATCATCATTGTCAATCATACTATCCCTGCACAGATATCTCTCCATGATCTCCATCAGTCCAGAGCATCTTATCCCTGGATATGCCAGAGGACATAACATCCACCCAATCTCAAGGCGAGCATAGGGTCAGTTATGGCCAGGTACGCCAAGGGTTTCATTGTAGATATACCAGCCATTATCCGGATTATACAAGTCATACGGCGTGACTCCTGTCAGCACTTCGTAATTCGTTTGTTTACACTCTTGCTGGCCCCCCCTGATACAGCGAGCCAGGAATTCGGCCACGTGTTTGCCCTCGTAATAGGCCCCGTGCAGGTAGCCAAAGAACTCCTGGCTGGTGGCTTCACCGGCAAAGAAGACGCTGTCGACATTGGCGCGGAGATTCTGATGCTCTTGCAGACTGGTCGATGGAGGCCAGTAGGAGAAGGATCCGTAGGACCTGGAAAGGTTAGTGCCGCTGCTGTTGTCCCAGGGTGGCTTAGACATCTCACCAATCATCCGTAGCCCATCTCGGATAGTAAAATTCCTCCACTTCTGAAACCTTATCACCATACATGTGCTTAAGCACCTCAAGGAGCTCCTGCTTCGTCTCTTCGTCTGTCTGAGACTCGACGCGGTAAGAATGCTCTCCGGTCACCGTGGCCACAAGGATATTAGAGTTCTCATACAAACCGGGAATATCCAACGGCTGGAACACGGGGTAATTGCCGCGAACATGGGGATCTGCCCACATAAGGAATTGCTTTTTGTCCCAGAAACTGCTCTTGAACTTGAGGAAAATCTTGGTGTATGTGCCTATTTCGAAGCCAGCAATGCTCTGGCGTTTCCAAAGTGGAAGTTTCGGGTCAAAATTTACTTTCCCTCTCTGCAAAACTCCCAGGGAGAAGGTCACAATGGCATATTTGGCTTTGAAGCATTCCCCGCCGCTAGTCACAGTGACCCCGTCCGAATTGTGCTTGATGTCGGTCACTTTGTGATTGAAGAGAACACGATCTGCATGCTTGTTGAGAACGTCGCTCACATTGTTCCGCAAAGCAGAAACGTATCCGTCATCATCACAGACGAAATAGTCACCCTCTGAGAAGTAATTATAGGAAGCAATCGTGGAGATAGCGCCGAAAACTTCTGAATTCTCCTCTGGCGGCGATGCATACTCCCAATCCCAGGTCCACCAGTCGGCCAGCTGTCCGGCTGGATCGGTCTTTGCCGGATCCCAGTGCTCAAGGCGTTGAGCGGCCCGGAAGGACCGATCCTGGTGATTTTTTTTCAGTATATCGACGGCGTCAATCAACACATTTCCAGCTGCGGTCTCAGCTTGCTTTATGGCAGCTTGGAAAGCATCTCTGCTTTCTTCCGGGAACACGACCCTATCCTCGTTCTTGGTTTTACTGATAGGGCTTTTAGCAACACTATTCCTCCGCCCCGGACTAGAATGGTGGTGTGGGAAAGGCGGGGAAGTCTTACACATTATTCAAGTTCGCCCTTTCAACCTACCTTGAGTTAGCCAGTTCGTCCAAGACCACACAACCAAGGATCTACCTACCATGGTCCAAATTGGATTAATATTGCCTGTTTCTGGCCCTCCAGGTCCATGAACCTAACTGGTCAACATTGATTCATGATTCAGCCGTTGTAAGAGTTGTTGAATGATACACACCCAGTTGGCGCCAACCTCAATCATATGCCCAGCAAATTTGCGACTGTAAAGCCGGCCACCAGATTCATCCCTAGCTTCAAGCACGATGAAATTATTGACGCCGTTGTCTAAGAGGGTTTGCTGTTATGGTCAGCTGAATCCAGCACGCGAGATGTAAAGGAACCTACAGCGGCGGTAAGACCGGCTACTCCAGCTCCACTGCATATGTGAGTCAATTGTTTATGAGTATCCTGGTATCAGCTTACAGAATCAAGACATCTGTATCCTTGCAAGTAGGCTCAGCAAGGGGCGCAGCATGCGCCGCCAACACTGGCAGTGCCACCGCAGCAGCAGGAACGAATCTCATGGTGTCGGCTGGCTAGATGCCACTGTTGAGTATGTTTTCCAGAGCCAGAGGTAGGTTATTTGTCGCTCCTTTTAAGTCCACTTAAGATATTGTTTGGATGTCCTTGCCCGGGAAAGGGATCCGTTGGTATAGAAGAAGGATGTGCAAGGAATGCGGGGGTGTACGTGACGTTGAGCGACTTAGCTGGGGATACACCTGCCTCATGCCGGTCATCGGCTCGTGATAAGAAGAATGGGTGCAAGATGGCCCCTGGGCATAGCTGGCCTCGCTAGGGGTGCTGCTGAGTGTATTGTCAGCTGTGGCATGTCGACAGCTTCCCGGTGAGGCAGAAGCAGAGGAATCGAAAACACGGAATAAGTCCGTGGAGGCTTTATGAACCATGCCATACGATGTCCTCATCAATGTAGGACAAAACTATCCAGATCCAGTCAACTTTCACATATCTTCAAGGGGATGCAAAACATTGGGGTAGATCACTACACTTCCGCGGAGCATACCAGACACAGGATGCAGAGCTGAAGGTGGACATGCCGGGGTGTCGAGACAGGTATGCATAACCCCTAATTGCTAGGGGACTACCATTTTCAGTAGTAATCAGCATGGCACTCTTCAGCACCTCCCGTTCTTCAAGCGAATGGGTGGAAGGTGGAAGTATGCTGGTCGTTCATAGTACATTGGGCAGGTGCCAAACAGCAAGCAAGTTATGCTAAGTGAGACTTCTCGTCAAGCATTGTCAATATTATAGGGACGGAAATTACTTATATTGGCAACTTATATAGACGTATCCGATTGAGTAAGAAGAATACTAATCTTCCAACGACGCAACAGACCTAGTCCAGCTCGGAACTATACGACCATAGTCAATTTCCTGGCCTTGTCCTTGATATCTCCATCTACTAATATAAGCGGGTGTACTTCCAGCGCCTCCATTCTTCGTAGCATAAGCACCAACAAGTGCGCCTACAACTGTCAACACTGCAAGAAAGAAAAATCGATAATGTAAAGGGCCAACTTACCAGTAAACCGACCAGTGCCACCACTGACAATCCTCGTATCTGCCCACCCAATGACTTTCTTATGGCCCAGGTTCCTCGATGGCGCAGCGGAAAAGGCATAGGTCGTGTCGTTGACAGCCTGTATCTCAAGCCTTATAGTGTTTGCTTGCCATTCCTTTGGCACAGAAATGGTCTGTCCAGGAAGGGGGCCATCGTAGTTACCCTGGCCTTCGACACGGAACCTGAATGACAGATTATTCTGTAGCAACACAATACCCAAATCAATGTGCTGTTCCTGAGTCAAAAACACCGTAACCCCAGCTTCCTCACCATCCATCTTAGGATCAAACGATATATCCACTCCATACGTGAACAACGTATCCGTCTGCCGACGCATAACCAGCGTCAACCCGTCATCTGGCTTGAACTCCGGCGTCCCTGTCAGATTATAAAATGACGGAGTCAGCCTCAAAGTATTAGGATACCCCTCCGGTGAAACCACAAAATTCTCCGTCCTCGGATACCTCCAATACACAAAATGCGCTGGAATTGCCGACCCCGGAATGAAATCCACTCTATCAGGCTGATCAATCCAGCCCCCCTCACCAACTGCAATCCCCCTATCCTCCGACATCAAAGGCCCACTCATCATCCCCCGAACAGGCTGCACAACCGGCCACTCACCCTCCTCCCACCTCGCCGGCGCAAGAACCGTCTCTCTCCCCATGGGATAATTCTTCCACGCCGGCCCAGATCGTGTACTCAGCGCCACAGTCCACCAATTTCCCACACTATCCTGAAATAGATCCGCATGTCCGACCGTCTGAAAATACAGCGTCGTATTGCGATTCGTCAACAGCGGATTCCGGGGATAAGCTTCCCACGGCCCGGTCCGGAACCTTGACCGAGCAATCGTCTCCGAGTGGCCAAGTTCTGTCCCTCCCTCGGCTATCATAAGGTAGTAATATCCGTCTTTGCGGAATATGTGCGGTCCCTCGGGGCTGGAGCCTCCAGTGCCGTTCCAGAGGTTGTGGATGGGGCCGGTGGCTCCGGTGATTAGATCGAGGGAGTATTGCTGGATGTGGTTTCCGCTGGAGGAGCCACTGTTCGCAGATGTCACGTAGACGGTGCCGTCGTCGTCCCAGAAGATGTCCGGGTCGATGCCTGTGACGGTGAAGACGAGGGGCTCGGTCCAAGCGGAGTTGTTGTAGGGGTTGGTGGTGGTGAAGAGGAGGCCTTGGATGTCTGTGCCGAGGTAGGTGACGATCAGGTAGAAGGTACCATTGTGGTAGCGCAGGGTTGGGGCGTAGATGCCGCCTTGTTGGTCTGTGGTGTTTCGGAGATCGGGGATTTGAGAGGGCCGGTTGAAGGCGTTGCTGGCGAGCTTCCAGTTCTGCAGGTCTTTACTGGCATAGATGGGGAGGCCGGGGTAGGCGATGAAGGTGGAGGTGGCGCAGAAGGTGGTGTTGTGTTCCGGGACGTGCGCGCATGTTGGGTCGGAGTGCCAGCCGGGGAGGATGGGGTTGGTGTAGGTGTGGTTTGATGTAGGAGAGGAGGATGCAGTGATTGTTAGTAGAGTGACTGCGAGGAGGGTGGGGAGCCTCATGGTGGGATGTGGTTAATACATTATAAGGAAAAGATGCTAGCATGCTTGAGGGTTTTATAGGTGACTCTTCCGACGATGCTTGGAGGCGGGCCGTGGCGGGTTTAGGCTAAAGGGAAGTTCTGGGTTAAAAGCGACCCTAACATGGTGAGGATGAGTTGAGTCGATCTCTTGGCCTTGCAATAGTGGCCGATTTCGCAGATCGACATCCTTGGCTAAGTGCATCTCGGGAATAGAAAGGACTATAAACAGACCTCATAGCCATGATGTTATGACAATGAATGGATCTATCAAGAGAATGGTCAGGTCTAGGCGCTGATGTTCTCGCTGCATTGCTATACAACACCTGAACACTGAGGGGTATTCAGCAAAGGCTCCATATATATAGTGTCAACGCGCTAATGGGTGGACCAATAACGGTTTAATATCGCGTCTATCTGAAAGCAGACGGAGAGATATGTTCCAGCATGCAGCAGTGGTAACAGTTTTGGCAATTGTTCGCAGGTGAGAACCTGATCTTTGCCTGTCAATGCGGTATAAAAAAGCAAAGAAAAGTATATGTTCGATCTGTATAGAGTTCTCCATACAAAGAGCCTCGGGGGAAATATGGAGTTCAATCTGTGTAATATCTCATATGTATACCATATATGACTGTACCCTATAATATCGCCAAGTATCCCGATTATTTTTTGACTCTTCTCCTCATATTGTAAAGGGGTTGGTTGAGAGTAGCTGACAATATATAAAATTTGATTCCGTCGAGGACAAGTCTCCCTATTCAACCAGATAGTTCTGTGATTTTATCTGTAAATGGACACATGAATTGATATATAGAGGAGAGGACAGTATGCTTTAGGCAGTATAGCTGAAATGCAAGGCTGTGATAGTAGTAGTGATGAATGTAGGCGACTAGAAGGGGCTGCTCCTTTTACCCCAAATCCTTTATCTATTGGTCCTTATATATAGAAGGGCGAATTGGTATTGGTTCATTTTCTGTAGTTATTGGCTGAATTAGACTGAATTTTCCTGGCAGAGTAATTCTCTTACGTGACAAACTGCTTGGCTGACGCCTACATGGCTTGAGCAGGCAATCTTGATTGATGCCGAGGATGTTAATGGGGTGGAATTGTGTTAGCTCCTTTTTACTTGCTCGTCTAAGGACACAGGGGATATTCGCCGAGCCATGTTCTATCAGGAGACATTATCGCCACTAGCTAGTCCTTTAACAATGAATCAGCTTAGGCTAATATTTTATCACTAAAGAGTTGCTTGTCTAGATATGTCTTGTGTGCAAGTGAAATCTTATCCCTGAGGAACGCCTGACTGCAACTCAGCTCTTGCAGGATCCTTCATTTAGGGCTACCATGGACATATATGGCTGTTGATACTTACCTTGACACAGGTTCTCTGCTATGGCTGTGCCCTTGCTAGCGATAGAGTGTTTGTCTCTTTATCGCGGTCACCGGGATATACTAATATAGTAGCATCAGCCATACCATTGAATCACCGGTTACCAGAATTCCCGGTAGAAGAAAACATATTGAACGGGCAAACTTAAGAGTATTATCATCAATAGTTAGAAAGTCAGAGTAGAAAACAACAAATAGCCTAACCTAGACAAGTATCACGCAACTCTTCTACTAGTTCAAGTAAGGGCACACCCCGGTTAGTCAGCACGGTCCATCCCCAACCGACGTCATCCCATCATTACAACCATCACCTTCCATCTATCCTATCTATCCATTAACCACCATATCCATCTCAATTCATATCCGAAATGTCTCTCCGGACGCCTCTCCGCAGATTACACCTCTCCAGCTCTTTACACAAGCCCTCAATCCCTCGCCCACTCCCACTCCCACTCCGCACCCTAACCACCTCCGCCCGACCCCGACTCACCTCCGCACCCAGACTCACCACCACACCAACACCAACATCAACAATCTCGCGAACCTACACTTTCAGCTTCACCCGCAGCCCCAAAAACAACAAATCCTCATACTCAACAACATCCTCAAAGCCCCCCGCCGACCAAATCATCGACGAACTCCAAGAACTGTTCGTATACCTTTTTCCCTTCCCAATTATCGTATTATACGTTCTAACAATCTCAATCTGGTAATAAAGCTACGAAGTCGCAAAAGACGAATTCGAAATCGCCACAGAAAGCACCGACTCAGCGACCATCTACGCGGCGTCGGACCGGGAGTCGGCGAGGGATGCTCTGAATGAACTCATTGCTGTGTATACGGTGTACACGAGGGATATGTCGTTTGTGAGCCATTCGCCGCAGGGACAGGTGGATGTGGATACGGGGTTGGATCCGGGAAGTATTGGGGATGAGGTGCGGGAGCAGGTGAGGAGGAGGGTGGGGACGAGGGTTAGGGAGATTGTGGGGGCTG